AAAATTTAAAAAAATAATACTTGGGCATTGAAGTCGCCTGCTATAACAACTATATCTGGATGGTTTGCTTTTTGTAGCAAATTAGACAGTTTCAGGTAGAAGGCATTATTTAGTTCATGCGAAATGCAGTCGGTTGGGGCGTAAATGGAGGCTATGAAAAGACAACGATGGGTTACACCGTCCTTCCTTCTTCTAAAGGTCTCGTTCAGATGTACCGCACACATACGGCTATCTACTGAGATCCAGTCAAAAAGTGATTTTTCTGCCCTAACACTCAATGCCATCCCTACACCTGCGAGTCCTCGCAAAGTAGCTGTTGTGTCTCCTGACCCTCTAAAGTGAATTTTGTTTATTTACCTTGTTGGCCGGGTGAGGTTAAGTGAATGCGTGTCTCAGAAACACAGCATGCATCCATGGCATGAGATGCCATAGTTCTTGCTAGTGATGCCTGTTGTCCGATTTGGAAGAGAGTCCTGACGTTAAATGCTCCTATTTGAAGTTGGCGACGTGGCTTTAAGAGGCTGCTGGGTGATGTTTTTATGGCTCTAATCGTTGTTTGTGGTCACAGAGTGAAGTGAAGATGAGTCACCAGCCTGAAGAATAGTACTAACTGTAGTAGGGGAGTAAGATGATGAGGATGATGTGTGTAAAGAAGAATGATGCCTAAGAAAGCTTCGTGTGCTTTTGGAAGCGTATGGGCCTTTTTTATTTCCTGGCTGCCCACACCGTGGAAGTTGGTTGATTCTTCTTATACCTGAAACAGGAAGGTTAGTGTTGCGTGACCGCAGAGCCCAGTGGACAACTAGTTGAGACCGGTCACACACGGCCTATATGAGCTTGTTTCTTCGATTGGTTCCCTATCAGTAAATTTACCGCCAGTTACGTATCACCGTCTCTCCAGAGTGGAGAGACAGCATAGGTGGTATGCTGGTCATCCCTGTTCCCCAGCAGTACAACTTCGCCCACAGACCCCCAGCATAGTGTAAAATAAATTTTTACACAATGCCGGTAACTGATTTCAGTCTAATCGCTATCCTAACAACCTTCCTGGTATGGTAGGACTTTCAGGAACAATAGTTTCAGCCAGTGTAGCTTGTCGGGTCATTGCGATATGCAAGTCTGACCACCACATCAAGGTAGCAGCTATTGTTCGGGTGAGATGATGTAGGAATGGTTTGGCTTTTTTTCCTATTTTTTTTACTAAATGGCTTCATAATGCCATATTAGATACTGTATTATTATCATATCAAGTCACCTGATATGGTTTTAAGCAATAATTTGTGCTTGAAACGTCATCAGTTAATATTACTGTACAACACTGTGATTTATCAAAATAAAATTTTATCCATAATGGAGTTATACTCTACCACAGTGCTCAAGTTTTGTATCAATAATACTGTGTTATTGTTTGGAAAGTGATCTGAGAACAATTTACCTATTTCTCATAATCACATCAGTTCATTGATGTGACAGGCTTGTGGGGATTATATGCATGTGATATGGATTGTATTGGTCAAGTACGGAAGTTTATTAGTCAGTATTCTTAGAAAGTAATGAAATCTCTAGACATTATCACTCTCACGGTTGATGTGAAGAACTATTAATTGAAGAGCTAAAAATCCTCTACATCGTGTTTAATGCGAAACCACCCTTGAAGTCCAATTTTGTGTATAGACTCTTCGGTGACATATGCCATTGGATATTTGTCGTCAACCAAGATGGATCTTAGTAGAAAGACATCTACTTCTAGTACTGAAAATCCATGAAATACCATAGTAGTTAAACATTTCATGAAGTTTTTGTACAGAACCGTTTCAGTTTTCCATCACCTGTCGTTAATTACGCATGCGAAAGTGGAGTCTTTGATTCACTGTCATCCTCAAACTTTGATTTAAGATAGAAGTCAGTTAAGCAGATTAGATTTGTCAAGTACTATCCTGTAAGTAACTGTTATTGAGTTACGTATAGTGATACTAAAATTCAGAAAAAACAGAATTCAAAATATTATAGATACTGTGGGTCTAAGCGTTCTTAAAATCACATACTGATTAACTGTTCACCCTTCAATATTTTCAAAGACAAAAAAGTTCAATTCATAGTTTCATCGAATGCTATAGTGAAGTTGCGACTGTCTGAAATTGTTGTTGACATCTTTTATATATATTTTTCTGTCCATCAGATCACATGCGCCCCCTTGTGTGGATTAGTTCTAGCTAAATCTCTCTGGTGTATTAATTGTTCTAGTTGTTCTTTTGTAACATGATGAAGTCTGAATTTTCCCTACTATATTTAGCTAGCTACTACATGCATCTGCGTAGTATTGTAGAATGAAATTGTGTTATTGTGCAGCTGGAGAAGTCAAAAGAAGTCGCAATCAACAACTTTGCTGAACTTTTTTTCTAATATACTATTATAACATTTACCAAACTGAGTTAATCGCAATTCATGTCGTACATAGTCATATGACTATCCCACAGCATATTTCTTTGTGCTACTGTACTAGTTCATTTCATCAGATGCAAAATTATGGATTTGGTTTTGTCGGCTAAACGGTCAAGATTGCGACAGTTTTGATGCTATATATATTAGTAAGAAGTGAATAAATAAACAAACTCTTTCTAATCAAGTAAACATCTCTCTATGATCACTATCTCTTTTGAAGCCTTTTTTTCTTTCATTATGTTAATTTTAAAATCTGTGAAATGTGTCAAGAATTTCTAAAAGCCTTTCCATCAGGCTGCAGACTTTTATCAACATCTACTTTCGTTCCAAAGTGAAGATCAAATTTGTGGCCAGAATGGATAACCAACAAGGAACTCTAACAATGAACCAACCAAAAACTCATCGGCAAACGAATGTGCCGAAAGAAATGGTTATGAATCGAGCACACACTGAGCCAGCTATGAGTAGTCCAGAGAACAGGGTTGAATTAAGATATGCTATTGAAATCCCATGTTCCACTCGGAACTCAAGGAAATAATAAAATATTCCAAGAAACTTGTGCCTGAAAGGAAGCAAATATTCTCAAAGTGCAGTTACCAGACATATTGTTGATACTAGTCATCTCGTAGAGATTTCTAAGTCCTTCAAAATATTAAACAGACAAACGACAGCAAATTTACTACGATTTGCTGAAGCGATCGTAATCAAGCGATTCAAACCAGACTTATGCATACAGAAAGAGGGTGTGATTAATCTGTTACTCCCTTGGTAACTGAATTTTGATTTTGATGACATTAATAAGTCATCTAATTCAATGATCTCAACTCACTGAGGAAATCTCAATCTTATAAAGTGTAACCGCTTTTATTTTTTGAGTTGCTGTGCGAATCTATAAGCTAACACTGTTTATTAATTTTTTCTGTTTCCGGTCTTACCCATCCCCCCTCTTTTTTACTGTGAAAGCGTATAAACTGATGATGAAAACTTAAACTAAAAATTGTAATGCTTATACTTTGGATGCGTCACTTTTATAGTATTTCTTCTCTACTAACACTTACACATTAAAGTATATTATTATCATCTATGTAATCACTATAATTTCAAGTAGTCTGCAGCTGATGAGAACCTTTGAAATAGAATAATATTTTATATTGCAAATTTCGTCTCCTTTTCTTTATCGAAACAATGCAAACTCTTGAAAAATCATAAGAATAATGTCAAGAATTGACTAGCTCATCAAGAAGTGTTTCCATTCGTTTTTACAGAAAATGCATCGCAAATTGTCAAGTTAGTTCAAAAGGTAATAAGGTGGTTGTTAACTAAGAGCAATATTTACGATAGTAGAAAGAAATTAGAAAAAGATTATAAAGATTTGAATATAAAGTTGAATTGATGACACTATCTGTGGGAACATAAGGATAGTCATTTCTCTTGGATGAAGTTTTTAATTATTGTCTTTTGTTCTATTCGAAGGATTCTCAAAAGCTATGTGTCTGACAGATATAAGTACTGTTAACTATTATTCAAGAAAATATAATATTGGCAAGCATAATGCTCATTTGATAACTTCTTTGTACAAGTGAATTCACTTAGCTTAGTTATATTTGGTTCACAATCAGTTATATAAAGTGAACTCTATTCGCATTCAGTATGAGTAAACATCTTGATAAATTATTTGTTTACGTTAATGTTGTACTTTCCGTTAGTTGAGTTTCATTTGGAACACCATCATTCAGTGGGGACTAGAGTAAAATCCAGCTGACGAGCCCCAAGTGCACATCCTAGATTCCATTTCTATTTATCATATATTAAACAACAACATGTTAATCCTCAGACATCATCAAAAAATCCGTTCTAGCAGCCGACATGTCAGCAGAGACAGAAAATTTTGTTCCAATATGTTCAGTCATTGGAATTACAAAATAACTGGTGCCCGTTGCATAAGAGATGGCTTTCGTGGTCCAATGGAAACAATGGGTGCTGTGTTTTAGTCCCTGTGGAGACACCATGACTCACTGGGGGCTTGCAGGTACATCGAGTTGATGGATCCCAAATAGGACGGAATGTACATAGTACAGTCGGCCACTTAGTCTTCATGATGCAATATAACTTTTCACATAATGTTAAGAAAGAGCTTCTTCATAAGATTTTTTGTCTGGTTTTACTATAAACGTTATATCCCTGTAGACGTAAACGCTGACTTCCAGTTGCTTTGCAGGAAGAGAAGATGAAATTAGACGTTTTGGATAATATCATAATAAATTTGTCACCAACCGACAACAGTCAGAGGATCATCAAAACTGAAGCACTATTAGGTAAATCCTAGATTCTAATTTGAAATTCTTCGGAAATAAGTATCTAATAAACTATGCAAGTTGTCAAAACAGGAATAATCAAGTTTTGAGGTGGACATTTGTACCGTCCAGCGACTGAGTTAAAACTCAACCGTTTCAAATTCATAACTTCTATCAATTAATGATATATCGTTGATACCATGCAATGTTATCGTGGCTGTTAATATTTGTTTTAATTCTTTCTATATTTTCTTTACCGAACAGAAAATAAAACTTGATCAAGGACCTCCATCTCCATACTTTGTCGATAAACTGTTAAGTTTTGTACCAAAAGTTTTATATGATACAGCACCACTTGGGAAGAGTTTCGGTAGTGTACTGAAACAACCAGAATCAATATATTATCGGGTACGTTTACGTAATATAATGAGAATATTGTTGCTGGCATCATGAGATTTTCATAGACACAATAAACACAGAAATAAGGAAAATTATATTTGCGGTAATGGATTACTAGATACTTGTATTTTAAAAAAAACATCATGCTGTTATAGAGTGGTTTTCATATTATGCCATGAAAGTGGTTTCAGATTTCAGATGCAGACTATATTTACAACTGTTGATTTATAAAGAAGTCGTTCGTTGTAATTCATTTCAGTGAATTAAATTTCTCAATAATTAGTTTACTTAAACTAATTTAAAATCAAGGCATACCACCCATGCATTCGATAACCACATCTTACACTTTTTTAACAATCTATTGTGAATAAAACGTAATACCTGATGCATGCAGAACACTTTCTTCCTTTGTTTTATAAACTACCAGACTTTATTTAACATTCATTTAGAGTTAAATTCAGTGGCTTTTTGTTTTTAAATTGTTCGCTTTTTTTAACAAGTTAGATGTCTCGAAATTCAACATTGTTTCATAGTCTTTTCTGTCAAGTTATTGATAAATGAGAATTCTTGTTGGATTGAGAATGAGATCTAGGTTGTAGGATGCAAGTAGAACCAGTAAAATTCAGTTTACCACCTAATTTGCAAACCCTATGTAATCACACTACATACCTCTGTAAATATTTAATAAATCCTTACGACTCATATATTTTCACCCTTAGGCTCAAAATTCACTGAGGGCATTAAAGTTTTTCTCTTTAGACGATTGATTGATTATCATGGAGATTTTTTGCCCCGGTTGTTGGGACTGATGTTTTGTATTCTCTGAGTTCTATGGTTTCTTTTCGAAGCTTTCATATTCTTTCCAAATGCCATCTGCAACGCATTCTTTATACTGATGTTGTTCAAAAAGACAGTGAAAGCTTGGTAAATAAACCATCTGAGTCATGAAACGCAACTACGCCACTATGTTAAACTGATTGTTCTAATAGGTTGTATATCTGCTTAGAGTTTCCAGCACTGTTCGTGCTATGTCCCTTATGTAAAAATGATGTCGGTTTGAATTTTTAAAGTGTACCTAATTTTTGTTTTGAAGTTTTCAGTTGTGTGAGGAAGAAACAGAACTTGATGAATTCTAGAGTATTCTCGTGTTCGTGAATTTTGTTGGGATAGTTGATATATATATATATATATATATATATATATATATATATATATGTAATTTAAAAGAAAAGAAGGCGTTCAGCGAAGAGACTCTTTTCGGCGAATTCATTCACTTAGCTGTACAATCGCATATTTATACAATTTTGTTTGTGTGTGTGTACATTAGATTTATAAAGTTTAGATAATTATGTAATATAAGTAATTTTTGGCTTGGAAACAAACGTTAAGATGGAAAATAATTATCTAAACTTTATAAATCTAATGTACACACACACAAACAAAATTGTATAAATATGCGATTGTACAGCTAAGTGAATGAATTCGCCGAAAAGAGTCTCTTCGCTGAACGCCTTCTTTTCTTTTATATGACTGAATGGGGATATATGTAATTGCTACTTCACTTCTTGAAATAAGGGATGGATAGTGTGTTGCATGCTGTTTCCAGGCTTTTTCAGGCGAAAATTGGAGGCAGGATTTAAGTAATTGTCTGTATGAGTTTTGTAGTAATTCGCTTCCTGAAGAAGTCATTTTTTAATTACAGTGACGGTGAAACCATTATGAAAACAGCTGATAGCTTGCAACTAACCTACTCCACAAAATATATGGCCAGGGAAACAATTTCCTTTACAGCTCTCCACCCCATTGGTCTAGAGGTGTTGTAATAACGTATGTTTGTAAAGAGAGTACTCAGTAGTTATATTATACGTATCAAGGTGTTCTATTCTAATTCGTGCAGATGTATAAAAATTTTTGGAGATACCTCAACTTGAGTGATGACATTCAGTACTATGTTTCGTGAATACCCAATCCCAGCATTCTTATTTTGCTTTATGAAAAATGCACTGAGACAGTGGGGTAATTTTGCTACTTTAAAAAATTTTCATCACCTTGTAGCACTCAGACTCCAGGAATGAGATAATGTTACAGAACTTGTCTGCAACTACTCCTGATTGGAGCATAATCAGTGAATAAGTTGAAGGCGGCATGGAACTTTTTAAGACGAGTGCTCATACTAAAAAATTACTTACTTTGCTTTTTTCAGTGACATAACATATTTAAACAAGACATTGAGAAGACAAATTTTGTGAGATGATATCACTTCGTAGTTTCTTAATGATCGCTTTACAGGTATCGTGGCTCACGATAATAAAATAAAATGTTTGATAATTATCCAACTGTATTAAGTAAAAGTGCATGCTAATAATCAACCATATTTTAGTCGGTCAAGGCAAGCACAGTTTTAAGTCTATTGTTTTCTGTACAGACAGCTTGGGATGCATATGATTAACCCAAAGTGCCTTTATCATGAAATTAAGCGAAATAATTGAGAAAGAGTTATTAATATTAATTTTGTAACCAGACGCAGTAATTGTGAGATACATAACTTTCTTGTTGTGGACCATGATAGACGTAAAGCGACTGTGAAGAAGCTATGAAATGATATCACCTCTCAGTGTTTGTCTTCTAAATGTTTTACTTAAATTTATCGATGGGACTAACTGTTAGAAAATGACACATTGTCGAGTGTCAATCATTTGTGATCTGCTGCCGCTCTGAACATTGTTTTTTAGTCCACAAGTGATCTATATTTTATATCTGTCTCTACAGAAAAAGGAGGTCGTTTTAATTAGTTGTTAAAATGTTTAAGACGAGTGAACTTTCGGTAAATCAAGCAGCCTTGTGCATTTAAATTACGAAAGCAGCATTTTGCTACTTAATAGTAATATAACTGTTTTCACTAAAATCTTTCTCAATAACCACAACCGAGATAAAAATAATTCATACTTAGTAGGTTGATATATCAAATTCTGTATCTTAAGTGTGAACTGAATTTAGAAACTAAAGAAAAAGTAAAAGAGTGATTATGTCTGTTTTATTGATTCAGCAGACTAGTACTTAAGTGTTCAAAAATGAATAAAGATTTTTTACGTAAATCTTGGTCACAGCCATACTTTATGAATTCAATTTCACGAAATTAAGTATGGAAATATAATAGTCACTTCATTTGTCAGTTTATCTCAACCAAAGGTGTGAAATTTAATTTGTCGTGAAGAAGATAACTAAACTTAAGTTCACGTATGGAATGTCATTTCTAGTATCTTTTACACTGTAGAAAACTTCGACATGGTACTTAATGGACATGTAACATTTTACATCATACGTTTTAAAGTTGTTATACACTGTATATGCTGCTGAATGTACGCCGCTTGCCATTGCCACCCTTGTTGGGCTTGGTAGCATCTACTGTTTTACCAGTTGCTTCCATCACCTCAATTAGAAAAGAGTTATTGAACGTCATTCAGATTCCTCACAACCACAGTTGATTGACAAACGCACAGTCACTTTTGAAGTTGTATACTACTACATTAAAAAAACTCGTGTTGGTTCACAATCGACAAAATATACACGTTGAAAAAGTTCTTGCACTTTCTGTTAATCATCAGGCGCAATAGATCCGATGAGGACGGCTTTAAAAAACAATTCAAAAAAATTTAACAAAGACAGTGTCAGGTTACCTAAAAAATCTCCACGATAATGTTTTCAGGCGAACTCAGGATAACTATGTTCGATCTAGTCTTTTATAAGTGTATAGGCTGATATGCGATCTGTACTCTCGTTCTGGTGATCCAAGCGGATGACCTTTGTGACTAGAAGGTAAGACAATTAGTGGAGGTAGGAAACCATCAATACCAAACATTCATATGTGTTCTACGGCGCAGTTGGATGTGATTTATGGGTTATTTAAAATGTCAGTGTGAATGTGAGTAAAAAAAATTAAAACTAGTGAAAAAATCCACTAACACTGACAGATACTAGTTACAGTAAGACATTGATACTCCGGCTTACAAGTTTTAAAGATTGAATATATCGTTACCGTATAACACTCAACTAGTTCTCACCAAAGCTGATGCACACTAGTACGCATTTTATCAGTAGATTGACTAACATGTAAGCACTGAAAATAAGACACAAAGATGAGGCATTGCAAAGGTAAGGAATGATTCTGAGGTTAAAGTCTATTAACTTATATGAATAATAATCGCTGAGCTTGTGACACTGTGACTGTATGAGTTAACCAGCACAAAGTAAGTGCGGTATGACGCCAACGCTTCTCCGGATGCACACTCGTGAAAATAAGACTTGAAACGCTGTATGCATCCGAAAGCAAACTACCAGTTTACTTAGTTAATATCCAGTTATTTCAATGTAATCTCTTTTTTTAGTCCTTGCTGAATTCTGATCCCTTGTAAGCTGCAATATGAGTTCATCCAATGACTTATTTAAGCAGGTTGCCTCTCCCTAGGTTTCACTTAGAATGATTGATTTAGCCAGTCTAGATATCAATTATGTATGTCTACATTCACTGTACGACAATGCTGCATGCCAAGTAATCCACAACGGGAAACTTACGGAATCCTTCGAAGTGAGGACAGGAGTAAGACAAGGCTGCCTACTATCCCCAATGATTTTCCTTATTGCAGTCGACTGGATAATGCGACAAACAGCGGGCAATGAGAAAACAGGCATAAAATGGACTCACACAAAAATCTTGGAGGATCTGGACTTCGCCGATGATATATGTCTGATTTCCCACAAACTGGAAGATATGCAAGCGAAAAGCAACAAGTTGGCAGAAGAAACATCAAAGATAGGACTCCAGGTGAACATAGAGAAAACAGAGGTTATGAAGATTCCTGGCCAACACCAACAGCCACAGCAACAACAACAGACAGCAATCAGCATAAATGGAAGGAACCTGAAAGAAACAACCTCCTTTACCTACCGGGGAAGCACCGTTTCAAATACAGGCCCAACTGACGAGGATATCAAAGCAAGGATCGGAAAAGCAAGACAAGCTTTCAATACTCTCAAGTCTGTGTGGAGGTCAACAGCATTCAGCGTCAAAAATAAAATCCGGATTTTCAACTCGAATGTGAAGTCAGTGCTACTATACGGATCAGAGACTTGGCGTGTCACAAAGAGCACCTCAAACAAGCTACAGACCTTCATTAACAGATGTCTTCGCTCAATACTCAAGATCAGATGGCCGGAAAGGATCAACAACAAGGATCTTTGGGAGCGAACCAACCAGGAACCGATTGTGAAACAAATAGGCAGGAAGAAATGGAGATGGATTGGCCATACTCTGAGGAAACCAGCAAGTGACATCACTAGACAAGCCCTTGAGTGGAACCCAAAAGGGAAGTGGCTAGTTGGTCGTCCAAGGGTGACTTGGAGGAGGTCATGTGAAGAGGAGATGAAAGCATGTGGGCTGACTTGGAGCCAGGTGAAAACTCTAGCAGACAACCGAACGCAATGGAGACTCACGGCTGAAGCCCCTCTGTTCCTCTAGGAATTAAAGGAAACAATTATAATAATGATATTAATAATACACTCACTGTTGCATTTTATATTTGCATGTCGATACTCTCTTAATTTTATAAAAACATTAATGAAAACAAAACACGTAGATCAGCGAAGAGTCTCTTTTCGGCGAATTCATCTTCTTAGCTGTACAATCGCAAATATATATGCATTGTTTTGCATGTATGTGTACATTAAGTTTGTCAAACAAAGTTACAATCGGTTAAGGTTAATTTTAACTAAACAAGTGAAGGTTGGTAATACAGGTCAAGAAAATTAAGTGTTAGTGAAACTAGGGTAGTAACAAAGGTGATGAGTTGTCACAAACAGTTGTAATAATAATAGTGAGTTTTACTCAGGATGCACATAGAAACAAAGTAGAAATTATGTAAGAGATCTAAGTGGATACATGAATTACAATTGCTTAATGTTATTTTAACTAAACAGGTAAAGGTTGGTAATATAAGTCAAGGCAATTAAGTGCTAGGATAGTAACAAAGGTGATGAGTTGTCACAAACAGTTGTTGAAAGAAGTTATGCAATAATAATATGAATATTTTGATGAGTGAGTTTTACTCAGGATGCATATAGAAACAAAGCAGATAATACGAAACTATGTAAGAGATCTAAGTGAATACAAGAATTATAAGCAACTAAGGAACAGGCAAAGAAACAAAATTAAGTTATCAAAATAAAATAAAATAAAAACTCAAAAAATCAAAACATTGTTACTATGAGAGTAGAAGTGGTTGAGTAATCTTCTTTTGTACGCACAGCTCCGGTTTTTCCATGGCTAGAGCTTCAGCGATACAAAGGAGACGAAACCGTATTGCCTTTGACATGTTGTTCTTGACTCGGTAGATTACTTTGAAGGAGGCGTTCGTTGAAATGCAATGATCAGTGCTGACCAGGTGTTCAATTACCGCACTCCTTATTGCACCAGTATTGCCTTTTCGCAACCATGCTGGATAGTGTTCTTGAATCCTCTTGGATAGGATGCGCGTCGAACGACCGATGTACCTGGCTCCACAGCAGCAGGTGAACTGGTATATGCTCATAGAAGTGGCCAGATGCGGGATCACATGGAAAAACCGGAGCTGTGCATACAAAAGAAGATTACTCAACCACTTCTACTCTCATAGTAACAATGTTTTGATTTTTTGAGTTTTTATTTTATTTTATTTTGATAACTTAATTTTGTTTCTTTGCCTGTTCCTTAGTTGCTTATAATTCTTGTATTCACTTAGATCTCTTACATAGTTTCGTATTATCTGCTTTGTTTCTATATGCATCCTGAGTAAAACTCACTCATCAAAATATTCATATTATTATTGCATAACTTCTTTCAACAACTGTTTGTGACAACTCATCACCTTTGTTACTATCCTAGCACTTAATTGCCTTGACTTATATTACCAACCTTTACCTGTTTAGTTAAAATAACATTAAGCAATTGTAATTCATGTATCCACTTAGATCTCTTACATAATTTCTACTTTGTTTCTATGTGCATCCTGAGTAAAACTCACTATTATTATTACAACTGTTTGTGACAACTCATCACCTTTGTTACTACCCTAGTTTCACTAACACTTAATTTTCTTGACCTGTATTACCAACCTTCACTTGTTTAGTTAAAATTAACCTTAACCGATTGTAACTTTGTTTGACAAACTTAATGTACACATACATGCAAAACAATGCATATATATTTGCGATTGTACAGCTAAGAAGATGAATTCGCCGAAAAGAGACTCTTCGCTGATCTACGTGTTTTGTTTTCATTAATGCCTGGATGGGGATTATCCATGAATTTATAAAAACACTTGTAAATCCATTAGTAACATCACTTTTACAAGCAGCTGTTGCATAGAAGCATTTGTCACAACGGTGTATTTACGTCAGTCTTTCTATAAAGTGTAACATAATAATTGCATTAGTAGTAAATGTAGTAGTGTAAAACTAATCCTTTTTTTGACTGGCATCACTAAAACAGAAACATAGCGATTAACATAGGTATGTTAGTTACAAACTTCTATAGTCAAATTAGTTTGGTGCTTTCGTTTCAGTTAAGATAAATGCTTAAGAAATATAAGGATGTTTATTCCCCATCATAATGTCAAAACTTTGTTACAAGATAGAAAGTTATATATCTCTTCTTAATTTATCATTGGTTTGAATGTCCTGATTAAGCTTATTAGCATGATATTGTGATGCCACACGTATCACTTTAGATGTTAGAAAAAAATAGACAGTAACATAATACCGACACTTTAACCCCACCAAAGTTGTCCTGTGTTTTACGAAAACATCCGACGAGATTAGCAAAAAGACGAGAATCATTTCCATCACCACATTGATCATACAAAAGAATGATAGTCAGCTGTTATTAAATAATTGTTCTTAAAATCTTCATCATATTTTGGTAAATACGGGCGCGTTCAAGCGCTTTTAGAGCTTGCACTAGTGAGCAACTTTCAAACCGAACATCATTCATAATTGTGGCGTTTGAGAGCTACTCGAGGTGATACCTTTTATCTAATACGTTCAAGTTTGAATACCTCAAATTTATTTTGTCTCAAAATTCACTATCTCTGTTTACCTCTTTCCATTTTTTTATCTGTTACATCGATTCATTCGTTTTTGATCAAACATTTTTTCTGCTGTTGTGCAGTGTGTTCAATGGAATCGTTGATCTTCGATACAGGGTTCTATACTGCCTTGCCTGTTTGTCTCTTGAGATTGTATCTGTTTAATTGGATTTAATTGAACGTGAACAAATAAGTTGAAATCGCTGTAATACTATTTGAATGATTTATGGTTGGGTGTGAATTGTTTACCTGATAAAGTTTCATTCTTTTCTCCATTCTTTTACCTTTTCGAAGTGTAATAACGTGGATCAATACTTTTCTATGCACAGTTTTACGGTCATCAGTGAAACACACATTCAATTTTTAAAATATTTTATTCTGAAATGTATAGACAGACTTAAAAACTCTACACCGTCTTGTTTCTAATTGATTTACTTAATGCCTAGAAAAATTTTTTTTCCTTTTTATCTAATTTTATTTTATTCACAGAAAGCAAATATTGTTGAGGTGGAATTTGTCAGTGCATCACCACGTAATAATATACGTTCTAATGGAACGTACTTGACTGTTGAAAGGTTGGACGAAACGTTGCAAAAATGGGATATTTTTCGTACGGATGCAAATTGGGAGACAAAGTAGGTATATATATATACGGGTTTCTATGTGATACATCGATTGGACAATAAAAGAAGAGGAAATCTTTTTTCTTTCCCCCTAGCTGATTAATTGACTTCATATTCAAGTTTGATCGCGAAGTGACTTCTTTTTTGATTGCACACTAGTCAGAAACTAGTGTAATGTGTCTAGTCCTATCTTCGGTGCAGACTGAATTCTATCAGTCATGTTTGCAATGTGGCCGCCATGCTAGGTGGCTCGCCATTACGTTGCACTGTGAATTGTTGGTATTAGATGGTTGGAGGCAATCGGCAGGAAGCCTTGGACCTAGGTTTCGTGCTAGTTGGCACTCATCAGCAGGGCGTATCTGCAACCTTGAAGGAACTGATGTATCTTCTGAGATTCGAACCCGTGTCACCCAGTGCTGCAGTCAGAGACGTTACCACTGAGCTATTCAGGCTCGCGACTGACCTCCTATAGGACTGTATTGGATATTTTTGATTGCACACTAGTCTGTAACTAGTGTAATGTGTCTAGTCCTATCTTCGGTGCAGACTGAATTCTATCAGTCTTCTTTTAGACAACACCCAAATACCATGATTTGGGACTATGTAACCAATCAAATACCTGCTCACTAGTGACTGCCTACAGGATGAAGTCGCCCGAAGTCCTAGTGGGAAGTCGTGACTAGCAGAGTTCTCCAGTTCGGGCACGAGAACAAGTACTCGCCTACAGTATCCGTTGGCGGTCAAGATATAGATCGCTAATTGACAGAAGTCAGAATCCCATTGTGGGAAAAATTTATTTTGATAAATTTTCACAGAGTTGTCAAAGAACTTGGTATGATTGTGAGCAATAAATTGTGCTCGAAACGTCATTAAATATTACTGTATAACACTGTGAAAATGTATCAGAATTAATTTTATTTACAATGGAATTATACTCAACCACAATGCACAAGTTCTATTCTTATATCAAAGAAGTCAGAATTAACGAGTCAGTGGTTGAATGGTACGGGAACTTACCTTGTATCCTGAATGTCATGCGTTCGATTCCTGATGGCTTGATGGTTGCATACTACTGATGAGTCTCTAACTATGACGTAACGGCTGTACTGTACTATCTGGTCTTAACTGGTTTCCGAAGTGACGTAAGCTGGTGATCAAAGCTGAAATCAATTGAACTCCTAGAAACTAAAACTTGACAACAGTTTGTTTTTATTGACTTCCGAAAACTGCGCTTTGATTATTGTTTCTCGATATTATAATATGATTGGCATTCGTGTTAAGTGCATGATAAGCATTGCTCTTATGCATACAAACAGATGATTCAATCTGCTACAAAAGAAACAGCACACAGTGAAATGAGAGTAAAGAAACAATGGCATGTCACAGTGAATGGGTGTCGATACAAAAGGGGACAGAATAGATGAAGGCCTATTAGTGGTAGTTTAGAAATTGTTTAACTAATCAAATTTAAATACATCTTTAATTGGAAAAATATTTAGCCATTTCATTTCCAGTTTCCAACTGTTATTCTTCAAATATTGAGAATTTGAACCAAGATATCCACATCTTTCTACGTGCTTCAGATCAACTGCATAAATTCATACTGTGTTCCCATCTATCCAGTTTTCCAACATTACTTTTAACATCTACCATTGACGTGAACGAGAATATCTCAGACTCTTCAGTCGATAAATATTTATCACATAATCCCTACGAGTGCATTTAGTCAGCAACTACTTACAATTCTGTGCTCTTGGAAATATACCAAACATCATTTGACAGCTATTGATACTATTTACTAAAGCTGACAAGTTTAGTTGAGGCCAATCTCAACTTGGTCCTTATGCCACAAAGCTTTAAAAAAACAGAACAGGCCATCGTTTAGTACTCTGGCTTCACAATATATGGTCGATATCGTACAGACTACAATGGTCAAGCAAGCATTCAATCATCAGACAAGTCCATAGTCTTTGGGCTGATGCGACTTCCTAGTCAAACAAAGCACTCAATACATTTTCTATCGTTTCGTTATGCACCAGACATAGTTGAAGTACATGCCTAACACACTAGCTTATTACGTTCAGTACATTAATTTCACCTATATCTTTATCATTGTAATAGTCATTTCTGTAATTCAGGTCAACTGACCATTTTTCTTGGTAGAAAATCTATTTTTGATTGGCAGGAAATTTAAGTTTCACAACACACATATGATAAATTTATCCAGAAATGATAAGTTATCATTCTTAATGTATATAACTAAGTTCTTCTACTTTGTACGGCAGCCATCAATAAAGTTATACATAGTTATATAAGTAAGTTCAGGTGAAAGACTTTAATCAGTATGAAATATTCTCTCTTCACTCCACCTGCAACTAGACATCGACACAACACTCCTGAATTAACAGACTTTTCTGCAGTAGTAAATCCTTTTTAATTTATTTTTAAGATTTTTCTGATATGTAGAAGTGATTATGTTACCTTTCTCCTACGCCGAATAATATGGAAACTTAACTACCTACACATAAAAATAATAAATAATAAGTTATTTGATACATCGGTTGAAGTGAACTTTCAACGTGGAACGCCAAATAAATTGCATCAGTTCAAGTTGTCACACCATAAATTGCATATAAAAGTAGAGGAAAAGAGGAAAGAAATCATAAATGCAAATGTATGGAAGGTAGCACAATTTCATGAAGAATAATGATGGTCTGTTGGATCAGCGAGTTCATATAAAGCAAATGCATTTACTCCATTGATAATTACTGCGAACCACGTCACTAACAGTCTCAGGGCACTAGTTCATAGCATTTCGAAGACCTCTTCCTGACAAAGTGAAGACAGGAGTAAGACAGGGTTGCCTACTATCCCCAATGATTTTCCTTATTGCAGTCGACTGGATAATGCGACAAACAGCGGGCAATGAGAAAACAGGCATAAAATGGACTCACACAAAAATCTTGGAGGATCTGGACTTCGCCGATGATATATGTCTGATTTCCCACAAACTGGAAGATATGCAAGCGAAAAGTAACAAGTTGGCAGAAGAAACATCAAAGATAGGACTCCAGGTGAACATAGAGAAAACAGAGGTTATGAAGATTCCTGGCCAACACCAACAGCCACAGCAACAACAACAGACAGCAATCAGCATAAATGGAAGGAACCTGAAAGAAACAACCTCCTTTACCTACCGGGGAAGCACCGTTTCAAATACAGGCCCAACTGACGAGGATATCAAAGCAAGGATCGGAAAAGCAAGACAAGCTTTCAATACTCTCAAGTCTGTGTGGAGGTCAACAGCATTCAGCGTCAAAAATAAAATCCGGATTTTCAACTCGAATGTGAAGTCAGTGCTACTATACGGATCAGAGACTTGGCGTGTCACAAAGAGCACCTCAAACAAGCTACAGACCTTCATTAACAGATGTCTTCGCTCAATACTCAAGATCAGATGGCCGGAAAGGATCAACAACAAAGATCTCTGGGAGCGAACCAACCAGGAACCGATTGTGAAACAAATAGGCAGGAAGAAATGGAGATGGATTGGCCATACTCTGAGGAAACCAGCAAGTGACATCACTAGACAAGCCCTTGAGTGGAACCCAAAAGGGAAGTGGCGAGTTGGTCGTCCAAGGGTGACCTGGAGGAGATCATGTGAAGAAGAATTGAAAGCGTATGGGCAGACTTGGAGCCAGGTGAAAACTCTAGCAGACAACCGAACGCAATGGAGACGCATGGCTGAAGCCCTATGTTCCTCTAGGAACTAAAGGAAATAATAATAAAATAATAATTCCTGACAACGTACACATCCTTACGTGATTGAAACTAACAATGCAATAAATCATGATTTGGTGCTATGTTTTAGTTTGACTAACTCCGATTTTCCCGTTGTATATGCATATATTGACTGATTTTTGTCTAAAAGTGAACTCTGTGCAAGTATCTTAAAATTGTTTTTCCTGTCGATATACTTAATAATGACTTTGGCAAATAAGCAGCTGATAAGTAGCCAACGAAGTAGATGATGGTACCATTTTATTCTTTAAAAACTGTCGCTCTTGCTTTATTCATATTCATTAAGGGTAATAAATTTATGAAATTTCTGATTTTTCCAACCTAACTTAATGTCAACTGGCACTGATCGATGACATGGCATGTGTAACACTTGTCGGTACCATCTTGGTCGACGCAACTAAATTACTAGATTGACTGCCCACCTACTTGACACTTGTACGTGTAAGCTCACTTTTACTCACTATATTATATCACTGAACACAGGAAACAAAACGCAAACACCTGTCCTCGAAAACAGCAAAAATCATCATCTCTCATTTTCCATGACCATATCTCACAGCACTGAAGAATGATGGAGCGAACAGCTATGTAATACACATGTCTTCAGATCAACAGCCAGATATCGCGTCTATACTGGAGATTATGCAAGTTGGCAAATACCGCGTGAGCATTTTGTGTTCGAGCTGGCGTTTTATTAGCAATCAAACCACTAGGGATGATGTGATTTCCCAAACAAGTGCAGAATTCACTTCACTCTGTCTTTGAACTAGAAGTCGAAGGTGGCTAGTCATGCAGCGTCATCTTACCTTCGACAAGAGCGAATCGTATTTCAAACACCCTTAAATTCTTCTTCAGGGTGTCATGAGAGAAAATATTTCTTTTTGTAACTCTGCCTCAAAGCTGTGCAGATATATTGTTTCTCAGTTGTCCAATATTCAGGAAACTGAATTTTGGTAGCAAACAAGATCATCTGTATACTTTGGAGCGACAAAAACTTCCCCTGGTAACAAGTCGACTCCGAAGTTGCTCAAGTTGATGCGTGCCACATCCATTAGTATATCTATGATAAAATAAAGGCAGATGAAGACATTAGATGTTTCTCACATAGACCAATGGTTATCATCACTTCAAGAGTTAACTCTACATAATTTCCTATGATATCTAGTAGATTTTGAGTAGTGCAATATGCTTTCTGGGTCGTCTTATTATGA